TACTAACATTATTATTATTATTACTACTACTACTACTACTACTACTACTACTACGACTACTACGAGTACTACGAGTACTACTACTACTACTACTACAACGACTACTACTACTACTATTACTACTACTACTACTACTATTACTACTACTACTACTACTACTACTACTACTACTACTACTACTACTACTACTACTACTACTACTACTACTACTACTACTACTACTACTACTACTACTACTACTACTACTACTACTACTACTACTACTACTACTACTACTACTACTACTACTACTACTGCTACTACAAAGGATCAGGGAAGAGGAAGAGGATTTGGAGTCAAGTTCGCCACGTCGAGCGAGTCTGCAGGCCCCGCCCAGTCCCAGCCTCCCGCCCAGGACACGAGAAAGAAGTGTGGCCTGGCTTGCGTCTGGGACTGGAGCCAGTTCCAGCCTGGCGCACGGAGGGCGCTCGCGCGCGGTCCCGCCTCCGACGACTTGGCGGGCCGCACCACAAGCGAGGGAGCGCAAAATCTCTGAGAGTTCTGGAGTCCCTGGGCGCCGTCCTGCCGGGGATATTCCAGCAGTCCTGGTCTCAGTGTAGATTTTGCGCCACTGCCGTGTCTTCGGCGGCGAGCGAAGAGGAGGAAGCGAGAAGGAGGAGACTTTCTCAGAAGGCGGCGCGACTTCACAGAAGCCCTCGCGCCCTCTGGGAAGCCTTTGGTTTGTCTTCGGGGAAGGCCCGGGGAACTTCCCAGAAAGCCTGGGGGGGGCCCTCGCTCGCCGCCGATGTTTGGCCATACGACTGCAGATGCCTCCCCCCTATATACATGTATGTGTCTATATATATATATATGCATAGATCGGAATATGTATATATATATGTATGTATGCATAAAAATGTCGATATATCAATCAATAGTTATAGACATATAGGTATGCAAGCCGATCTGTACATGTATACATAGGTATAGACATACACACACACATATATATATATATATACATATACATATATATATATATGTGTGTGTAAACATATATGACAGGTCGGGGGCCGGGCGAGGGCCCGCTGCCCGCGCAGCCCGCGCACGGCCCGGCCCCCCCCGCAGTGGCACGCCGTGCGGCACGCGCAGGGCCACGGAGCTCCCGGCTCCCGGCGGCGGCGGGGGCGTGCAGCGGCCGGGGGCGCCCCCCAACCGGAGGGGGTGACCACCGCACCGCGCGGCGAGTCGGTGGGGATCCGGGGTGACCGCACGGTGTTTGGGGCCGGGGTCCCTCTCCGAGGGCGTCTCGGGCCACTCCGGGGCATCCGAGGTCCCGAAGCCGTGCTTGGACGGGCCGTGCGGTGAGGCCCTGGGGGAATTGCGAGGTCACCGCACGGTCTGTCACCTCAGCGGTTCGGGGCTCCAGGAGTGGGAGGGGTGGGACCACCCTCCAGCAGCGTGAGTGTGAGCCCCTTCGGCTTGGTTCCGGCGTTGCCCCAGCATGCTGTCAGGCGTCCCAGATGGGGTCCGAGTAGATGGGGTCGGAGGATCGCGCCGTATCGTCGAGGCATCGGCGATGCGGCTCGGTGTGGAGCCCGCTGTTCTCCACGCCGACGTCGCCGATGCATCGCCGACGTCGCCGACGCATCGCCGATGCATGGCCGATGCATCGACGATGCTATGTGTGTCTGTGTGTGTTTGTCTGTGTGTGTTTGTGTGTGTCTGTCCGTGTGTCTGTTTGTGTGTGTGTGTCTGTGTGTGTGTCTGTGTGTGTGTCTGTGTGTGTCTGTCTTTGTCTGTGTGTGTCTGTGTGTCTCTGTGTGTACGTGTCTCTGTGTGTCTCTGTGTGTCTGTGTGTGTCTCTGTGTGTCTGTGTGTGTCTCATTGTGTCTCTGTGTGTCTGTGTATGTGTGTCTGTGTGTGTGTCTGTGTGTGTCTGTGTGCCTGTGTGTATGTCTGTGTGTCTATATGTGTGTCTATCTGTGTGTGTCTGTGTGTGTGTCTGTGTGTGTGTCTGTGTCTGTGTGTGTCTGCATGTGTGTCTGCGTGTGTGTGTCTGCGTGTGTGTGTGTGTCTGTGTGTCTGTCTGTGTGTCTGTCTGTGTGTCTGTCTGTGTGTCTGTCTGTGTGTCTGTGTGTGTGTGTCTGTCTGTGTGTGTGTCTGTTATCTGTGTGTGTCTGTTATATGTGTGTGTGTCTGTGTGTGTCTGTGTGTGTGTGTCTGTGTGTGTCTGTGTGTGTCTGTCTGTGTGTCTGTCCGTCTGTGTGTCTGTGTGTCTGTGTATCTGTGTGTTTGCGTCTTTGTCGGTGTGTGGGTGTGTGGGTGTGTGGGTGTGTGGGTGTTGTGGGGTGGGTGTGTGGGCGTGTTGGTGTGTGGGTGTGTGGGTGTGTGGGTGTGTGGGTGTGTGTGGGTGTGTGGGTGTGTGGGTGTGGGTGTGTGTGGGTGTGTGTGGGTGTGTGTGGGTGTGTGTGGGTGTGTGTGGTTGTGTGTGGGTGTGTGTGGTTGTGTGTGGGGGTGTGTGGGGGTGTGTTGGGGTGTGTGGGTGTGTGTGTGTGTGGGGGTTTGTAGGGGTGTGTGGGTGTGTGTGTGTGTGGGTGTGTGGGTGTGTGTGTGTGTGTGTGTCTGTGTCTGTGTCTGTGTGTGGGTGTGGGGGTGGGGGTGGGTGTGGGTTTGTGTGTGAGTTTGTGTGTGTGTTTGTGTGTGTCGCCCCGTTCCCACCAGGGGCGACGCACGCATCAAGAAGTCTTACAGTGTATGCGTTGTGGCGGGCGTTTTCTGGCCAAACCGCTCGAGAAACGATAGGCTACAAGATGGGTATACTATATGTTCGGGTCGGACGCGTGCCTCCAACGAGGACGTATGGTATAGTACTAGTATGTCTCTGTGCGTGCCATGGTGCTTCTCAACAAAAACGCCCTGAGCGTTTTTGCTTCCGTTTTGCATTTTGGGGCCCCGTGCACGTCCCGAAGGGCCGTCGGGACGTGCACGGGTGCGGCCATCGATCGAATTCGTTGTAGAACATGGGGTCGATGGCCACGGGTCCAGAGAGTGCCGTTATTGGTACAATTTTGTTTCTTTATTGTCCCCCCGCCGGCCGCCATCCAATGACCCGCTTCGCGTCCGGCACAGTGCCATGCTCTCGTTGGTCGTTCTGCCCCAGGAATGCATTTCGTACGTACATACTGTTGGTGGCAGGTGCGAGCGCGGACACCTCGTGCGGCCCACTTACAAGCAACAGCGTGAAATGGGTCAGGGTCGAGCCGTCGAATCATGAGCTTAGCTGATTGTCGCCGCCAGTTTCTTCTACGCAGGCAAACAGCCAATATCTAGAAGTTCTTCCCCGAACAGTGCTTGCGCTATGGTGGGGGTCAACTTGGCTTCTGAGGAAACGTGCATGTTGCACTGAGGATTTGGGGGTGCCGTGGTTTGCGCCAACGGGTTCTGCCTGATGCCCCATCGACTTCTGGCTGTCGTAAAGTTTCCCCGGTGGGTTGTGCTTGAGGCCCTGCGGATTCCTGGGTGTAATAATTTTGACGTCACGGGGTGCGCTCACGGGTTGCGCCTGAATCCATGGGGACGTCTGGGTGCTGCAGGTTGTTCCGACGGGTTGCGCCGGATGCCTGCTGTCCCAGTGATTTGCCGGTGCCATGGGTCGCTTGCACGGGTTACGCTTGATGCTCTGGAGGTGTCTGAGCGCCTCCAATTTCGGGCGAAGAGAACTATGCACATGCACCGATCCTGGCGAGGCCCATTCTTGACCCAGGATCGGTGCATATGCCTTCCTGGCCAAGGCAGGAGGGCGTATGCACCGATCCTGGGCTCAGGATGGGCCTGACCAGAATCGGTGCATGTGCATAGTTCTTTTCCCTCTACAATTGTGCCCATGGGTTGCGCCCCTGGGCTGCGCCCGAAGGCCCAAGCGTTTCTGGGCGCCCTCGTGCCACAGGTTGCGCCCGTTGGCTCCGTCCGTCTGCAGCCACGAGGCTGCGCCTGACGCCCCGGGAGCTTCTGGGTGCCCTCGGCGGCTGCGCCCTCAAAGGCCAAGGAATATCCAAAAATGGTGAAAGAATTTTGACTGGGTTTTGAAAATTCAATGGGTGGTGAATTTTGATTGGGTCTTGAACGGCCAAGGAATATTCAAAAAGAGGCTGGGAACGGCTTTTTGTGTATGTTTGACTCGTTTTGAACATGTGTTGACTCTTGCTTCAGTCTTCTTCCAAAATCCGCCTGCGGGGGGACATCATGCCCGCACTGAACGCACAACGGCCTTCACCGTCTGCTCCACTGGTGGCGCCCTCGGCGGCCAAAGGCAAGCAGTGGCTGCCGCTGGTCTCGCCACGGGCTGCGACCTTGGCGGCCGAGCACCAGGCGGCCTGCCACGTGTTGCCGCCGCGGGCGGCGCCTTCAGATCGGGCGACGAGAATTATGCACATGCACCGATCCTGGCAAGGCCCATTTTTGACCCAGGATCGGTGCATATGTCTTCCTGGCCAAGGTAGGAGGACGTATGCACCGATCCTGGGCTCAGGATGGGCCTGGCCAGAATCGGTGCATGTGCATAGTTCTTTTTCCTCTATTCAGAGGCCGAGAGCACAGGATTGCCTGCTGGCTGCTGCTCCCACGGTCGCGATCTCGGTGGCCGAGCACAGGACTGCCTGCCAACTCTAAGTCGGGCATGTCCCCCTGCAAGAGGAGTCTTCAAGAATAGTCAACACATAGTCTGGGGACGATGTTTCGACAATGTTTGACTATGTTTGATGTTTGTTTGACCGTTGTTCAGCTTTCGTCCAAAATCCGCCTGTAGGAGAACATGCCCGACCTTACTCGAAGTGTCGCGATCTCGGTGGCCGAGCATAAGACTGCCTGCTCACGGGCGCGACCAGTCCGCCAGTGCACCTCGCGGAACAAGTCTGGGCATCGACAGAAATTGAGCTCCAGGCTGCGATTGCCCATCAGCATCACAGACAGGAGCCATTCAGGATCAAGACGCTCGGGCGTAAGGTGCATCCGGGACAGAGATGTCTATGACGCAGAGTATCCACTATGAGAGCGCAGGGAGCTCCGTCAGACGCCCGCTCTCTCACAGCCATACTCAAGAAATGCGGGAACACGAAGCAGTGGGCTACGGCGCTGCGTCTGTTACAAGACGCGTCGCTGGCGGGCTTACAAGTCAACACGATTCATTGCAATGTGGCCATCAGCGCCTGTGGGAAATGCAAGCAGTGGCAGTATGCGCTCCTCCTGCTCAGGGAGGCAGCAGGCACAGGGGGAGAGCCAGACGTCGTCAGCTTCAGCGCCGCAGTCAGCGCGTGCGAGAAGAGCGGTCAGTGGCAGCACGCGTGGTCGCTGCTGTTCACAGACATACGCGGAGCGGCACTGGAGCCAGACGCCATCATGTTCAACGCCGGGATCAGCGCGTGCGGCAGAGCTGGGCAGTGGGAGCGAGCGCTCTGGGTCCTCGGCGAGATGCGCGAGGCGAGCGCGGAGCCAGACGCCGTCAGCTTCTCCGCCGGGGTGAGCGCGTGCGGGCGGGGCGGGCAGTGGCGGCAGGCGCTGGCGCTGCTCGCGGGCATGCGGGAGGCGCAGCGGGAGCCCGACTGCAGCCAACGGGGGCCACGAGCGGGGAGGACGGGCTCCCGAGGCGCACGCCCTGGCCCCCCAGAGCGCACCGACCCCCGTCCCCAGACCCCCTCGAGTCATGAAAAAATCACGACGGGAGGTTTTTCGCTACTTTCGGCCTCCGGGGGCCCTTACCGGCCCTCCGGACCGTCAAAAAACGACTCGGGATGAAAAGCCGGTCCCGGGGATTCGGTCTGGACCTCTGGAGGTCGCGTCATGAAAAAATCATGACGTCGGGGGTCTGGGTCGAGAGGTCGTCGGAGGGCTTCGTCGGCTCTTGGCGGTTGTCCGGCCTCGGGACGCTCTCCGGCAGCTGCGCCTCGCCGAGGGCGTTCGGGGTTTCCCCGGATCGTTCCGAACGGCCGCCGGAGAGCCGATCTATGACCCACAAGCCAAGACACAACATTCGAGGGGGTGGGTTTTGGGGGGGGATGCATCGACCCCCAGTCGCCCGGTCATCGCCGATAGGAGTCTGATAGCCCCCCCCCCTCAGCAACGCACGGCTTCGCTATCGAGAGCCCGTCGACGGTCTATCGGCGATGTATCGCCGACTGCAGGTCGTCGATGTTTCCCCCCTTAGCCAGTCCCTCCCATATCGTCTCCCCTCAATCAGCCACAGCGCGGGGATCAGCGCCTGCGAGAGCTGCGGGCAATGGCAGTGGGCTCTGTCGCTGCTGCGCGAGCTGCTATGTGCGAGGTTAAAGCCAGATGTGGTAAGCTACAGCTCGACCATCAGCGCCTGCGGGAAGGGTGGTATGTGGCAGCATGCCTTGTCGATGCTTCTCGAATCCCGTGCGAGCGAGTTGGAGCCAGATCTCGTCAGCTGCAACGCTGGGGTCAGCGCTTGCGAGAAAGGCGGGCAGTGGATGCAAGCCTTGCAGCTGCTCGGCGAAATGCGTTGGTTAACGTTGCAGCCAGACGTCATCAGTTTCAGCGCTGGGATTAGCGCCTGCGCAAAATGCGGGCAGTGGCAGCATGCGTTATCGTTGTTGAGCGGGCTGCGCGAGGCCCACTTGGAATTAGAGCACATCGCATACAGTGCTGGCATCAGCGCGTGCGAAAAGGCGGGAAAGTGGCAGCTTGCACTGTTGATGTTGACGGAAGGTCGAGAGATGGAGTTGGATATGAACCTCATCAGCTACAGCGCTGGAGTGAGCGCGTGCGAAAAGGCGGGGGAGTGGCGGCAGGCGCTATCGATTTTCGGGGAGATGATGGACGCCGCGTTGGCACCAGACGTCACCGTCTACAGTGTTGCAGCCAGTGCGTGCGAAAGAGGAGGGCAATGGCACCGGGCGTTGTCATTGCTCAGAGATTTGAGGGAGGCAAACGTAGAAGCAGATGCCATCACGTACAGCATTGAAATTACAGTGAGCAAAAAGTGCGGGCAAAACCATCATGTTGTGACGCTACTGCGCGAGATGCGTGATGGGATTCTTGACCCAACCGTGTTCAATTACAATGTTGGAGTCAATGCATGTGTGAGCGGGGGGATGTGGGAAGAGGCGTTGTCGCTGCTGAGCAATTTGCGCGAGGCAAGCTTGGAGCCTAGCGTTGTGAGCTACAGCTCTGGAGTCGCAGTGTGCGAGAAAGGAGGGCAGTGGCAGCGTGCGCTGTTACTGCTCGGCGAAATGGCGGACTTCAATATTGAAGCAGACTTGATCAGCTACACCGCTGGCGTGAGTGCGTGCGGGTCATCGGGCCAGTGGCAGCAGGCGCTGTCGCTTCTGAGCGAGCTGCAGGAGAGCAGGCTGGAGGCAGACGTCGCCATCTGCAATGCCGGGATCAGCGCGTGCGAGAAGGGCGGGCAGTGGCAGCGGGGGCTCTGGCTGCTGAGAGTGATGGTAGAGGCGAGAATGAAGCCAGACGTCATCAGCCACAATGCTGGAATCAGCGCGTGTGAGAAAGGGGGGCAGAGGCAACGAGCTGTATCACTGCTCGAGAGCTTGTGGGAGCCAGACGCTGTCAGCTACAACGCTGGCATCAGTGCGTGTGCAGCTGACGGGCAGTGGCAGGAGGCACTGTCTCTGTTGAGCAGGATGCGGCAGGTAGGTTTAGAGCCAAACGTCGCCTCTTCTTCAATTCCAGAACCAGCGCGTGCGAGAAAGGCGCACCGCGGCGGCCTGACAGACGGGCCAGCAGGGCCAGCAGAGCGCCCCGAGACTGCCTCCAGAGACGTCTGCAGAGATCCCCCGAGGGTCCCAGCGCGCTCGACAAAAGGCCCTAAGAAGCTCTGCAGGATGCCCTGCAGGCCCCAAGAGGGAGCCCCAGCGAGGCGTCCGGAGAGGCCCGAGGCATCTTGCTTCGGGAGGGCCCCGCGCGGCCTCGGCGTTCTCCAGGCAGAGAGCCCGGCAGGGCCCCCAGAGTGCCCCCCGGGAAGCTCCTCGGGACGGCCCAAGTGGGCGTGACCATCGAAGAAGAAAAAGGAGGAAGGGGAGGAGGAGGAGGAGGAGGAGGAGGAGGAGGAGGAGGAGGAGGAGGACCACAAGCACAAACGTTTGGCGCTCCGCGCGGCCTTCCGGGGTGGTCGCGCTGGGGCCCCCCCGGCGGCGCCTCCAGGGCCGCCGCCGTGCGCTCTCCGCGCGCCGGGGGCCTTGGCGCAGGCCCAGGAAGTCCGCGTGGGCCGTCGACGGCTTATGGCTATGTTACATTGTCCTTTCGTGCGGGAGGGGAACCCAGACCCCCTCGAGTCCTGAAAAAATCACGACGGAAGGTTTTTCGCTATATTTTCGGCCTCCGGGGGCCCTTACCGGCCCTCAGGACCGTGTCAAGAAACGACTCGGGATGAGAAACCGGTCCCGGGGAAGGGGTCCGGACCTCTGGGGGTCGCGTCATGAAAAAATCATGACGTCGGGGGTCTGGGAAAGTGGAGTCGAGGCCTCCTCGACGGGGTTGGGGCAGGTGGGGTCCGAGGACCGCGCCGCCTCGCCGGGAGTGCATCGGCGATGCGGCTCGGCGTGGAGCCCGAGCTTCTCCACGCCGACGCGGCCGGCACTCCCCATTCCCCCAGCCCCAAGGCGGATCCAGAAAGCATCGCATTTGCAATGTGGTTGGCCCCCTCGTCTTGCTGGACTGTGCCATCTGCTGGCCTGTGGTTTCATCCACGAAACACCCTGCTTAGCTACGTAGCTGGAGTTAGCGCGTGCGATAAAAGCGAGCGTGGCATCCAGGTTTCAATGTTGCTGCGTGGCATCCAGGTATCAATGTTGCTCAGCGAGTTGGGGGACACGATTCGGTAGCTGAGCGGCATCTTCTTTTCTATGTTACTCGGCAAGCATGCATGTATGCGAAGTCATGGCTTTGTTTCACCATGTGATAGTTTCTGTCATGGTTGACCTTGGTTGGGTCCGATCGTTGACCGGTACTTGTAGGTACGTCGGTAGTCAGATCAATTGCCCGCCCAGTCCGGCCCACTCGAACTCAGAGCGTGTCGAAAGAGTCCAAGTGCCTTCTTTGCACAGCGACGTGCCGCTCACAGGGGCTTCGTTTCTGATGCTTTGTTGCATCATGATTCGTTGTGTGTTGCCGTGGTGCGTCGCGATCTTCACGTTGGCATGCGAGTGCCGTATGTGCGTTGCAATCTTCATGTTGGCATGCGAGTGCATCGTCCACGGGCCAGCCTTAGTAACCTACAGTGCCGGCATCAGCGCATGCGAGAAGAGCGCGCAGTGGTATCGGGCGTTGCACTTACTCTGCGAGATGAGGCAGTTGCGGGTCGAACGTGACGTCATCAGTTACAGTTCTGGAATCTGCGCGTGCGAGAAGGGTGGTCAGTGGCAGGAGGCGTTGTCGCTGATCGGCGAGATGCCAAGCACGATTCTGGAGCCAACCGCCTTTGGCTACAACTCTGGGATCAGCGTGTGCGGGGCACGCGCGCTGTGGCAGGAGGGGCTCTCGCTGCTCTTCGGGCTGCGAAGGGCGGCGCTGGAGCCCGACGCGGTCAGCTACAACGCGGGGATCGGCGCCTGCGAGACGGGCGAGAGCGGTGGCAGCAGCCGCTGCCGCCGCTCGGGTAGGCCGAGCAGGAGCGCCGACGACAGCCGCACAGCCTAGTGCCCCCCCGGCACCCTCGGGCGAACATGATGGTGGCGATGATGGCGATGACGATGAGAGTAACGGACCGCAGGGGGACCAGGTGTTTTTGTTCCCCGCGGGCGCAGCGCCCTTCGAGCCCAGACACGCGCGCACGTCGCAGCCACCGAGCATACCCCAGAACGACGACTGGGCCAGCCTGCAGTAGGCGGGCACGCACGCAGAACTTGGGCGCAAGAGGGGTCGGTTGCTAGGAAGGCGGCGGGGCTCCCAAAATAGCAGGGGGGCTGCTTGGAAGCCCGCCCGGCTTCCAAGAGAGGCCTTCTCGGAAGCTCTTGGGGCCCTCTCAGAAGACCCCTGCCCTCTGAGAAGCCCCTCGGCCTTCCTAGAAAGGCCGCGCCCACTCGCGCCCACCCTTTGGTGTGGGCGCCACCAAAGGACCTCGGCTTGAGGAACAGGGCGCCCGATGAGGGGCGGGGCGAGTCGCGCGCCGCGCTCTCTCGGCGCTTCGGCTCGTGGCCGCCGGAGCGCTCTGCCGTCGGGGCACATCCCCAGGCCTCTGCGCGCGCGCGGCGAGCTGCCGCTGCTCCTCCCCCCACCTTTGGATTCGTTCACTGCTCCCTCCTCCATCCTGTCTTTCTCTTCCTCCTCCTCCTCACCCTTTTCCTCCTCTGACTCCTCACCCTTTTCCTCCTCAGACTCCTCAGACTCCTGCTGTTTCTTCTCCTCCTCCTCCTCGTCCTCCTCCTCGTCCTCCTCCTCCTCCTCCCAGTCGGCGTTGGAGCTGCGGCAAATTGAACGACGGAGTGAAGATTTTCACTCGCCCCTCACACGACTTGCGGACTCTGACAGCCACACAGGTTGTTTTGCTGGGGCCAGGGGAGGAGAAGGAGGAACAACAAAACATAGCGTTCCCTGCAGCCCTTCCGATACCGCACCTCTTTGCGATCCTCTCAAGAGTGACTGGGTCGTGACCCGGTACTGGACACCTCTTGTGCCGCATTTTCCTATTTTCGATGGACGATTTGAGTGCGTTCGTGAAAAAACGACGAGCCAAAGACGCAGAACATGGATCCGCTGCACCCATGCCCGGGAATTCCAACTCGCCAGGATTACAATATGTGAACAGTTGGTTGCACACGCCTCGGGACCATCTGCTTGTTGGACAACTTCAGTAGAAAGTGAGAGAGCGCAGGAGCCGCCACCACTGGGCGCGCATATGGGCGCCGACATGGTTGACAGCAGCGACGGCGAGAGGGGCGGGCAGACGGCAGCGGGGGAATTTGCAGAGCTTGCTCGGCTTCCCCTTCCCGATGCGCCCCGCGGGGCCCAGGGGGAAGAGCTGCCAGGGGAGTTTGCAGAGCGCCTCGGGCCCCCTCACCACCTGCGCCCGCTCGGGCCTAGGAGCAGCCTGCCCCTGCTACAAGCGAAACCATTGGTTGACACATCTGTTCCACGAGATAGAAAGACAACTGCGCCGATGGAATTCGATTGGCCCTGCTTCGCACTCGTTTGTACGCCGGCGAGCAAAGTTGGACGACGCAAGCCCGGGGGAAGTTGGAGGCCCGGAGGTTCGGAAGCAATCGGTGGGTGCCGATGAAGAATTTCGAAAACCCATGCCCGAACCAAAGTACGTGGAAACGTTGTCCGAGGGGATCGAAGCACGACTGAATCAATGGAGCCCGCTCGGCCTTGCTTTGCATTCCTTTATTCGTCGGGGGATGAAGTTGGGCGATACCCGAAAATCCATGGACCCCCGCGGGGAGACGGACAAGAAGGAGGTCTGGAAAGATGGAGGCCAACCCAAGCATTTGGAGATCGACTCGTTTGTTCGCCGGAGAGCGAAGGAGGTCTGGAAAGATGGATGCCTCGAGGTTCAGAGGCAACCGACTGGTGTCGATGACGAACTTCGAAACCCCCTGCTGCTCGACGACGACCATGAGATCGCAGCGCGTTTGGGATTCTTCGGTTGTGCGTTGACCCACGAAGGAATCAGTAAGGGCGTCTTGTAAACACTGCGCACGGAAGGGGGGGTGTCCATTGGGGAATTCGTCGAAGTATTAGAACTTCTGGCTTCGCACAGGGATTGTGAAGGCGCGTTGGAAGTGGAGAAGAAGTAGGATACTGAGGCAAAGGGACCGGCAACATTTCCCAACTGGGGCTCCCTCTGACCTCTTAGCGTTTAAAGACGCGGCTGTTGAAGGGTTTGTCATCGAAGAGCGGATGCGAAAGCGCAGCGCACGAACTTTGGACGGCATCTATGACATTATACGGAACAAGATTGGCTATTTTTCCGCGGATGCATTTCGGCGCCAATTGGCCGAAAACGGCGCAGTCCGCACTTTGCCAGAAGTGGAAGACGCTCTTTCGGAATGGAAAAGCCTTGGAGTTGTTGCCAGGTGGGGAAGCAAGTACGCAACTGCCGCCACATGAAGATTCAAGCGCAGGCCAATTTGCACACCTAAGTTGGAGACGAGTACGCACACGCAGCCATTTTTCCGCTGGACGGAAATGCCGTGCGAATCTTCAGCGCGCGCCACACGTTGCCCCAGATGGTTTGAGTTATCGAGTGCGACCTTGCAGAAAACGACAAGACGAAGTCAACAAGAGCAGGGGCCTTGCATTTCTGAGCGCGTTTTGCGCGGGGGAAGCATCTGTCTTGGCGCAGGGAGCGCCGATCAAACTAGCAAGGGCATATCGGAGTGCATGGTGCCCCCCTCTCTTCTCTTCCTCGGTCTTCTTCTCCATAGGATACAGAGAGGAATTTTGCTCGCGAGTTAAAGAGGGGCTCAGGGAACCCTCCTTCTGGCGCAGGCCCGCACGCACGCGCCATTGGCAGCGCGATGCCAGCGGTGACGCGCCCTGTGGTTTCATCAGAGATGTACTGGCTGGTAGCACAGGGCACCCTGCGAACGGGCCGCACGCTCGACCGTGGTGGAGGAGGCGGGGAGGTGAGGGCTTGGGGCGAGTAGGGCAGCGTGCACTCCTCTGGCGCGGTCTTGGCAGTTCCCTCGGTAAGATGTCGAAGGACTGCCGAGTCCTTGATGCAAAACACCCACGCCGGGGAAGTACGCATACGCTCTGTACTGCACCTAAGCGGGCGCACTGGCGTTGATCCCCTCCCTCATGCGGATGTCCTGTCCTGTCCTGTCCTCCTCCTCCTCGTTATCCCTCCTCCTTCTGCCTCCTCCTCTCAGTCTCATCTTCCTCCACGACGGCGGCGGCGGAATAATCATGCGGTGAGTAGCGTTGGGTGCGGGTGGTCCCCCAGAACATGATGATTGGCCCATTCATATCGGGGGAGGGCATGGAAGACAGATTGCGAGAGGGGAGTCGGTTCAGGGGGGCACGCGTCGACCTTCACTGGTCATCGCCGATAGGGGCCCGATAGCTCCGCCCCGCCCACAGACGCGGGGTTTCGATGTCGAGGGCCTATCGCCGATCTGTCGGCGATGTATCGCCGAGGAGGCAGGTTCGATGTCAAGTTTACGCGCGTGGCCAGTCATGCCGGGGAGTTTCCAAGCGACAGTTCCATGTTTGACTAGGGCCGTCCTGGATCAGCGCAGTGCTGCATGCGCTGGAGCGCGGGGTCTTTTAAAAGATCGAAATGTCAATCGAAAGCCCCGTTTTGAAAAAGAGCGGCCGTCCATCCTTTGCAGTTTTGCGTGTAACATGCGCGCGGTGTCGAGGCGAGCGGCACCGTTTGAAAACTATGGGCGTTCCACTCTTTGACTGTTGCAAAAGTTGGGGGCGAACGTGCGTTGTGCTGAAGCGCGAGCCCACTTTGAACAAAAGGGCCGCGCTCCCCTTGAATTTGCCACAAGGTGTTGCGACGAATGTGGGCGGCGCGCAAGCGAGAGCCACGTTTTGGAAAGGAATCACAGCGCATCCTGGACTATGCCACATTGTCCTAAGATAAAAATGCGCGCGTCACTGGGGTGAGAGCCACATGTTGAAAATTCACTGCCCTACTTTGAAAATTACCCCTTCCATCCTGAAGTTGCTGCTAACGTGTATGACGAATGACCGAGACGCTAAGGCGGGAGCCACTTGAAAATTATCTCCCTATTCACCCTTGAAGTTGATTGTAAGTTTGCAGACGAATGCGCGCGACGCTGAGGCGAGAGCCACATTTTGAAAGCAGCCCCCCCAAAAAAACTTTGAATATGATACAACGTTTGAAGACGATTGCGCGCGACGTTGAGGCGAGAGCCACAGCTTGAACACCATCCCCCTTCCATCCTTGAAGCTCCATCGAGCTTCAGGATCACAACTGGTGAGGACGCCTCAGGCGAAGCGCCCGGCCCAGCCTGAATACCGATACGGCTAGGGGCCCGACATGGAGGAGTTAGTGAGAAGGTAAGGAAAAATATGGAGGAGGAGAGGAAGGAGGAGGAGATAAGAGGAGGAGGAGGAGGAGGAAATATGAGGTGGAGAGGGAGGAGGAGGAGGAGGAGGAGGAGGAGGAGGAGGAGGAGGAGGAGGAGGAGGACCAGGAGGGAAAGAGGAAGAACGATGAGGAGGAGAGGGCGGAGGAGCGAGAGGCCGGCGGAAGAAGAGGCGAATAGAGAAACCTGAGAGGTATGGAAGAACGGAAGGGGGCGGAAGGGAGTGCGGGAGGAAAGGAGAGACATCGGAGCTGGGAAAGGATGAAAGGGATAAATGAGTATTCCACTACTGGACCATTCGAAAAATGAAGCACGGAGGAAGTCTGACAGGCAGGCATGGGCGTTCATGGATGCGTCCTCCGACTCTACCTCGTCCTCAACATGCAGCCGTCCTTTTTGTCTGGAGGCGAATCGCGGCGATTTCGAGCCCTTTTTGGAAGAGGAGTTCGAGCAGTATTGTGGACGCCTTAGCGACTGTGGGGGGGCTGTCAACACTCGTGCTCTCTATATCTCTCTCTCTCTCTCTCTATCGCTCCCCCATCTCTCCCTTTCTCTCTCTCTCTCTCTTTCCCTGTCCTCTCTCCATCACTCTCTCTCTCTCTCTCTCGCTCTCTACATATATCTATGTGTGTATCGCAGACGCCTGCGGCGAATCACCGCCGCCTCCTGCCTTCTAGGATACGCCTGTGTGGATAAAACGCTGGGGCTGAGTTTGGCCACGCTGTTGAACCATGCGTTCCCCCAGCCGTTGTGGAAGCCCTCGGGGACAACATTGGGGAGGAACAGGAGAGGATGAGGAGAGGGAAAAGACAGGAGGATGAGGAGAAAGATGAGGAAGCCTCTTGGAAGCGTCTTGGGTCATTCTTGGGGTCTCCTTAGAGTTTCCTGGGGCCTCTTTGGGGGGCCTCTCTGGCCGCCTCTGGGCGTTCCTGGCCCGTCTGACGCCGTCGAAAACCGTCTGTGGAGCCTCTCTGGTCCATCTCGGGGCCCTCTTTGGGCGCTTCAGTGTCGTCTTGGAGGCCATCTTGGGCGTCTTAGAGTCCTCTTGGGTCGTCTTGGGGCCCTTTGGGGGCCGTCTTGGTAGCCTCTTGGGCCGTCCTGGGGCCCTGAGAGACCTCTTGGGCGATCTCGGGGCTATCTTGGGAGCCTCTTGGGCCGTCTTGGGCCGTTGGAAGGCAGCTTCTGAAGCAAATGCCACAACCTTTCAAAAAGCACAGGAAAGTCAATGATTGTAACCTCTTCTGGCCTTCCTGGAAGACCTCTTGGAGGCCTCTTGGGCCGTCTTCGGGGCCTCTTGGGCGCTTCTTGGGCCGTCTTGGGCTTTCTTGGACCATCTTGGGCGATCTTGGAGGCATCTAGGATCATCTTGGAGGCCATCGTGGCGCCATCCTGGCCTCTCTTCGGGCCGCCTTGGCCGTCTGGAGGGCCATCTCAGCCGTCTTGTAAGTCCTCTCGAAGCCAAGCGTAAGCGAACAAGCAGACGGGGGTGCGTGCTCTGGGTGGTCGGCAGGTGGGGCCGAAGCCCCACGGAGAGCTCTTTGTAGAAAAGAATAAGATATGCGCCATGCATTTTGGCAAGCCGTGTACCCTTGTGGCAAGCCACAGGGGGGCGGCGGATATAATTGCCTTGGGCATATCACGCCACCGTGCATGGGTTGTGGTCACCGGGGGTCTCTTGTTATGCCTGCAAGGGCCTCTTGGTGTGCCTCTCGGGGTGCTGTTGTGGGGGTCTTGGGGGTGTCCAGGGGCCTCTTGGAGCGTCTTGGGCCCCCCTTAGGGGCGTCTTGGGGCGTCTTGGGGTGGCCTCGGGAGCCTCTGGGGGGCTCTTGGGGCCATCGTTGGGCGGAAGGATCGAAATGTCCGATCGTGTTCCCCCTCTTGGGGCCCTCTTGGGGCCCTCTTGGGCCGTCGTGGGAGCCCAAACACCTTAGGAAGATCTATGATGTTGGCCTCTTAGGGCCTACTCGAGGGTTTGAGGTCCCCTCTTTCGCCGTCTTGAGGCCGTCTTAGGCGTATGGGAGCGATCATGGGGCGACTTGGAGCCCTCTTTTGACAGTCTTCGCGGCCTCCTCGGTTCCTCCAGGCCCGTTTCTGGACCCTCTTGTCTGCACGCGGCACACCTTGCGAGGTCACAGAGAATCCCCGGAGCGCCCAGGAAGCCCGGAGTCCGGGCCCTTGAGAATCTAGAGTCGTGGTTGCAAAAGCGGCACAGTTGTGAGCCTCCTTGAGGCGCTCCACGCCATGCCAACGGCACGGTGGCGGATCGCTGTCGGTGTCTCTCTCGCTATCGCTCCTGCTCTCTCTCTCTCTCTAGTTTTCGTTTCTCTCTCTCTCTCTCTCTTTCTCTCTCTCTCTCTCTCTCTCTCTCTCTCTGTTTAGATAATCCTTCATACCTGTAGGGTTAAACAAATAAAATCCGTTCGTATGTAATATACATACGTATAATTACACTTATGCATGTTAACCAGCGCGGACCCAAGCCAGGTGGTGCAATCGAGGTGGCGCAGCCCATGTGGTGCAATATATGTGGCGCAAAACAACGCAAAGCAGCGTAAAGCAATGCAAGCAAGCCGATGCACAACCATGCAACACAAAACGAAGCAGTGCAAAGCAACGCAAATTAACGCAAAACAGTGCAACGCAATTCAACAATACAAACCAATGCAAACCAATACAAAGCGATGCAAACCAATGCCAAGCAACGCAAAGCCATCGATTGATTTCGAGATGCGCGCGCGAGGGGTACGTGTGGTATCCTTTGGTGAGAATGGTCACCAGAACGAGAATTGGCTCGAGCGCGAGCGCGGGCTTGTTTGAAAAGGAAAGCTCTTCCTTTCCACGGTTCGCGACCGTTCAGTTCTCTAAGCCGACCACCAGGTAGTGAGGGGCGAAGAGCACCTTGGCATGAGCAGCCCCTCTCTTGTCGGTGTAAGATTGCTTCCCTGACTCGGCATACACTTCCGAAACAGGAAAATCCGTTCTCGGCTCGACTCAATTATTTTGTAAACATTTTCGGGGCGCTCGATATTGAAGTCTGTACAAAACCGACTGTTCTTGAAGGCTTCCGGCATGCGCGCGACGACGACGCGCATGTGTTGTTCGTCCAGTTGTTTGCACGGGGTTCTTGAAAATTGTGCATGATTGATAACAAGTGTGCGCGCAAAGTGCATGTGCCATGGATGAGGGGTGGGTCGGGAATCGGATTACCTGGGATGGTACGACTTCTTATTTAGGATGGACGAGTGTGCAGAATCATATACGGGGAAAAAACGACAAGGCGTATTATGAAGTCCAGGGGGGAAGAGGAGGGTAGGCCTTTACATTCCCCGGAAATGTTTGCTGTGAGTTGCCAATGTCGTTGCTCGCGCAATCATCCCACCCACCCTCCCGCAGCTTTGTTTTTTCGCGGGGGCACGGTCGACCGAACCAGTTTTCTCGGGTCGGGCGACAGGGGGGGATTGGGAAAGGGGGGGGTACGAGATTTGCTGCATGCAGCTGGCTTCGGCCTCGCCGAGGGGCCCGTTCCTCGATACATGGCCGCCTCCGGCGCCGGGAGGCGCCGGGAAAATCAGCTGCGTGAGCTGAGTCTCAAACCCCCCCTTTGCTAATCCCCCCCTTTCGCCCGACCCGATTTTCAGGCTCCCGCGGCCCGCTGCTGGGCCCCACCGTGCCGTCGCCAGCGCAGGCAGGGAGCCCCGGTCATTCGAGGCACAGCTGCCCGAGGGAGAGGTGCGGCGCGCGTACGCCCCTTGGGCGCAGCAGGCCGCACGACAAACGGTCAGCAGCCTCCTCGTCGCGAGCCCTGGCATCGCTCGGACGTGTGCCTTTTTTGTCTCGGCGAGGGCCATCGAGGAGCATCCTGGATCATTTGGCGAAAAAAAGGCCACGCACGGAACCGACAAAAGGCACAGGGAATGGACGTCCGAGCGATGCCCAGGAGCGCCCCCGCGCCACGACCTCCAGGCTGCTGCACCTGGGCGCACCCCCGCCACAGGCCTCGCGCACGCCTCGGCTGGAGGGCAGGCCCCGTGCGCGCCCTCTGCTCTGGGGGGGGCAGCGGCGGGTCCGGCAGTGCGCCGACGGCCTCACGCGGGTCAGCTTTTGCTCTGGGGGCAGCGGCCTCACGCCCTCTGCTCTGGGGGGGCAGCGGCGGGTCCAGCAGTGCGCCGACGGCCTCACGCGGGTCAGCACTTTCCCGCCGTGCCGTCCGTGCGAAAGCTACGCTGGACTCCGGAAGCTCGCAGAACTCCTTCTCTGCATCGTGCTCCGCCGCGTTGCAAGAGTCGTCGACGACGACCTGGCACTCCTTCGTCATGTTGTGGTTGACGCCGCGCTCGAAAACCTCATGCTTGCCCTCGCCGTCGGTCATGTCAGCAGGCGGGACGTCGTGAGCACCGTTGAAGGTGTCGTTCTCCACCTTCTCGCTGGTCTCCTCGGCACCGTCCTCGACATGGTCGTTGCCGGACTGCACCGCCTTCTCGAACTTCTCCTCGAGCGTGCCCTCGGCGACCGCGGCTCGCATCGCCAGCGCCGTCGAGTCGCCCGAGCTCTCGAACACCTTCATCGTGATGGGGTTGACTTTCACTGCCTTGAGCCGGGCAACCTCGCTCGCGAGGATCGCCAGCACCTCCGCCAGCTGCAACTGCTTGCCGTCATCCTCGAATTTCTTCTTGTCGCTATCGTCGTGCTTATGCATCGCCACGTTGGACTGCTCCGACGCCTTCATGCTCTCGACGGTCGCCGGCTGTACCTCCGCGAGCTGTTCCGGCGCCTCCACGATCCCGAAGACTGTCGGCGGCTCCTCCCCGAACTGCGTCGGTGACCCCCCGGCTTTCGCAACGATCTTGGGCGACGGCTCAAGCAATCACTTGAGTTGATTCTTGCCCACGGCTTTGCCCACACTCTCCTCCACGCCGACCTCCTTGTCAGCGGTGTCGCCGCGCACGGGCTTCACAGGCTTCGCTGCCTCCACCAGTTGCACCGCCTCCGAGCCGTTGTCCACGTTCTCGGATCCTTCGGCGAGCTCGGCGAGCGCCTCGATCGCACGCTCCGCCACGCTGGCCGTCGGATGGGCTAGGGCGCGCCGCCCTGCCCGCAGGGCCGCCCGCTCCTGGACGAGGCCACCATGCCCCGCGCGCTGGAGGCTCAGGCGCACGTCCTCGGTAGACGCCCTGCCCGAGAGGCCCAGGCAGCGCCCTGCCTCGAGCAGCACCTCGTCGAAGGCGCCGAGGGCGCCATGCGCTCGGCAGGGCGGCGCAGGGCTGGCCCGCACGGCTGCCCCAGCCGCTGCTTCCACAGCGATGCGTAGCAGCTGCTCCTGCAGCCTTTTTCCGCATGCCCGATGCGATGATCCCACGGAGGACCGCTTCCACCGCCGCCGACGCACTGCAAGCAGCCGCCCCAGCCACCGACGCAACGCCAGCAGCCGCCATCGGATGCACAGCGGCCGGCTGGTCTGGCGGGAAGGACGCGGCCGCGGTGGCGCTGACTGCTGGGGACCCCCCAGCACGTCTCGCAGGCCGCGCGAACGCGTGGAAGCATCAGTGCGAGTTGGTGACCCGTGCGGGCGCGGTATCATGGCGACGTCGACAATTGCGGATGATGATTGCATCGATGCTGGCGTCGACTACAACAATGGGAACGGCGAGGTCAATGCCGGCACCGATATTGATCGCGCAGATGACGATGATGGTGTCCACGCGTCGGCGATGAAGATTGTAGAAGGATTCGACTTGCGCTCGCGGCCGACGCCCGCGAGTGGCCTGCATGGTTTTACTCGGCAGGGATCATGCACCCCCCCTTCCAGCACGCGCGCAAGGGCGCTCGAATGATTTCGACATGCGCGCGCGCGAGAGGCCCACTTCGTTGAATTTGATGAACACGTTGAGAGCCCAATGGCTTTCTTATGTGTTCGAATAAGCGCGCAAACCTTATGTTGAAAGCTCATGTTGGAAAACACTACGTCTGTTTTAGAGACGCTTGGTTTTCGAACCCATACGACACTTCGAGTGTTTGAAGGACTGCGGCATGCGCGCGCGACGACGCGCGCGTGTGCACTTCGTCGCACGAGTTACAGGGGATCATTGGAAACTGATGGTTTTGATAGATTGGTGCGCGCGTATGGTACATTTGACAGGCAAGAGTGGGGGGTCGATAATCGGACTGCCTTGGGGTCGATTGTCGGATTGATGGGCGGGGGTGGTAGATCCCAATTCTTTTTGAAACAGGAGAATCTATGTGGTGCAGCCCACCACCGCTCAACATGAAGTTGTTCCACTGCCCGCGCAAACATCCCACCACCCACTCGCAACTTGGTCTGCAAACCCTACGCGGAAGCGATTGCGATGAGTGCTTATTGTTGGTTGGTGCATCTCTGCGGCCGCGCTAGCCCGCGCATGCTCGCGCGCGCAGCGGCCAGCTAGTTTGGCGCGACCGACGCGAACGCGGTGGCGCTGACCGCTCGGCACATCCCAGCGGGCACTCCACTGTGAGTCGGCAACTTGGACCGGCGCGATATCATGGCAACGTCGACAACGGTAGACACGATGATGATAGTAGCGATGTTGGTGACGATGCGGATCACCCCGACGACGATGACGGCGTCTGCGCGTCGGTGATGAAGGTTTTGGAAGGAGGTCGAAATGCACGCGCGGCAAACGCGCGAGAGTGGCCGCCATGGTATGATTTGACACGGGTCGTGCCACCCCAGCACGCGCGCAAGGGCGTTCGAACGATTTCGACATGCGCGCTCGAAGCCCTGTTGGTAGCATTTTTTGAAAATGTTGAAACATGTTTTTTTTTCCGCAAGAATGTGTAAGAGCGCGCGCGCATGTTTTTTTTGAAAATCCGTGTTGCGAAACCCTGTGATTCTAGATTTGTGTTGGACACTCGGTTTTGAAATCGCTACGACATCGCAGGTGTTTGATGGATTGCGGCATGCGCGCGCGACGACGCGCGCGTGTGCATCTCGTCCTGCTTTTCGCAAGGGAGTTTGTAAACTTAGATGTTTTGTGATGAACGAGGGCGCCCACATAGTATGCGTTTCGGGTAATGGTGGTTTGGGGTGGGGGGCGATACTGGTTGGACTGGGATTGTACGGCTTCAAATTTAGAGTGGACGATGGGGTAGAAACATATGTAAATTGCAATGCGAAAAAAGAGTACCAATAATCCTGGGGGCCGGGGGTCGAGTCTCTTTCTGTTTTAAAGGAAGATTCACCTTGCCGAATTTGAGGTTGTCAACTCCATTGCTCGCGCAATCACCCCACCCACCCACCCGCAATGTGGTTTGAAAAACCCATGCGCGGGCGATCGCGATGAATGCTTAGCGCTAGCTGGCGCGTCGGTGCGGCCGCGCTAGCGCGAGCAGGCTCGTGCGAAGAGCAGCCACTCAGTCTGGCGCGACCGACGCGGCCGCGGTGGCGCTGACCGCCGGGGACTTCCCAGCGCGTCTCGCAAGCCGCCATGACGCGCGGGCACTTGCATACGAGTCGGTGGCCCGCGCGGGCGCGGTATTATGGCGACGCCGACAACGGCAGACACGATGATGATAGCAACGATGTTGTTGACGATGATGACGCTGACGACGGCGATGTCGCTGACGGCGCCACTGCTGATTGCGTAGATGACGATGATGGTGTCCACGCGTCGGCGATGAAGTTTGTAGAAAGATTGCGACATGCGCGCGGCCGACGCGCGCGAGTGACCCGAATGGTGTGATTTGACAGGGGTCGTGGACCCCCCCCAACACGCGCGCGAGGGCGTTCGAATGATTTCGACATGCGCGCGCGAGATGGACGCATGTGATGAAAATGTTGGAAATCAAATGTTTGCGTGAAGGATTTGTAAAAGCGCGCGCTGACTTTTTGAAACGTGGACTTCGCCACGTTTGTTGCCAACGGTCATTGGAAGTAATGTTGTTTGATGAACGAGTGCGCGTGCATAGTGGTAGTTGACGGCGACGAAAGGGGGCGATACAGGGGTGATACCTGTTTAGTTGGGATGGCATGGGTTCATGGCTAGCGAGGGCGATGGAGCAGAATCATACGTAAACTGCACATCCCCGGGGTGCTGAGAAACCAGGGGGTATCATGTTTCTGTTTGTTCATCTACGCGCTGCGCGAAAGAAGAGTGATGAGCGAGCGTGCGCGCATTGTGTTTGTTGCAGGGGACTGTGCGGGTCGATCCCGGGTGGGCTGGGATGGCATGAGTTCGCGGTTGGAATGGACAGCGGGGCAGAGTCATATGTAAATTACACACCCCCATGGCGGGTGGACACTCCCGGGAGAGGGGGCGGGGGGTGGATCCGAATTCACCCCAGGAGAACAGAAAACATAAAAGCGGCGACGGCGACGGGTGGCGACGGGGCGGCGACGGGGCGGCGACGGCGAGCACGGAGCCGCCAGACCGCCACCCAAGCCCACACGACGGGCGGCGACGAGGCGACGACGGGGCGGCGATTGCGAGCACGGCGCCGCCGGACCGCCATCAAGGCCCACTCTGTTAGAGCAAAAGTATGAGCACCGAAGTGAAAGAACCGGACGTATAAACAAATCACGTAGAATACACACCACAAGCGACGAGAAGACTTGCTTGGTTTACGCAACGGAGGCGAGGACTGAAACAAAAGGTTGCGAAAGAGAGTCATTGCAAAGGATATCGCCAGCGGTTATCCCCTTCCGATCTGCGTTTCGCGGTGCGAGCTGACGGCCAGGCAGAAGCCCAGATGCATGAGGGTGTACTTGCGGCGGGAATGCCAGGCTTGTGCGGCGGCGCTGGCGACTCTCGAGGTGCTCGAGCAGGAAAAGGCAATCAGGAATGCGCGCAGGAGCCGAGGGCAGCTGATGACCGACCTTCGCAGTTTGGGTGGCCGCACGGCGTTCCCCGTCGCGGACGCTCGCGGCATTCGGCTTTTGGTCGCTATTGAGTTTGATCGGGAGGCCACCGGCAGGTGCTTCGCTTCAGAGGTTCCTCGCCATCGCTTCGACCGCGGTGTGCCCGTGCTGCCCATGGAGCACCGAGGAGCGTTACGAATCATACCGCCGCTCACAGTCTCCGCCGACGAGGTTCAGGAACTCAGCGTATCCGGTGAGGCCGCATGTTCTGTTCGGAAGGTGCTCGAGAGCAAGGCCACACCACCAGCGGCGGATGCGTCAGCGTCCGTGCAGCCCTCGCCCCCGTCCGTGCAGGCTCGCCCACAGGAGGCCTTGCCAGGCTTCGGAAACGTGTGCGCGCGCGGAGTGGTAGAGCGCATGCGCTGGCCGATTGGATCTTGCAGTTGAGCGCACCGCCGTCGGAGCAAATCTTGCCGTGGGGATTGGGAGAGGATCGGGAGCGGGAGGGAAAGGGGAGCCGAGGCTGATGTCGAGCTTCCGAGTGGCTTAGTGACACGCCGTAGTCTGAGGGGCCAGAAATGCTGAGTGTAGGGAGTAACAAGCAGGAGTCGTAGATGTCCCTCGGCGTCTTCTTGACGGAAGTTTTGGCCCAAGCAGTCGTAGTTCAATAGACCAGTGTGGTAACACATCCGTGCAGCAGCAAATTGTGTGCGACTGGCCCATTGAGATTACAATGTCATGGGTTGTTGGTAGTGTCGCCGCAGGTGTCTTTGCCGTTGCGGCTTTGATGCCAAGGCTCATGTTTCAGAATCGCATAAGTTTGCCAGACCATCTGGTGGGCCATCCAGTTGTACAAGAGAGCGAGATCATGAGTGAGGATGATCGATCTGCGTTGATGGTTTCATTGAAGGAGATGGGGACAGTGCCGCCGTATCTTCCAAGCAACGTGGAGGACACTAAGTCATACAAACCTTTACGGGAACACATTGGGGAGGCAACTATGCTTGATACGCACGGTTTCTGCAAGCACCCTTACATGGTGCCATCGCTAAACCGGTCACATTGCATATTGGCGAATCGGATTGATATAGGCCGCCATTATATCAAGACGGGAGGTGTGGATTCGATGCGCGAGTTGTACTCAACAGCGGTGTCACGTCTGTTGTCTTTCGGCCGGTACATCTTTGATATTAGCGCCGACCCTGTGGTGGAACGATTGTTTGCCACAGATAAGTTTCAGTCTGCGGCCCGGGCTGTTTGCCCAGCCCACAAGCAGTATCTGGACCCATTTCAATATAATTTTATCATACAGGTGCCAGGCCAAACTGTTGCTGCTCACCTGGATGGTGTCTATCCACTTGTGTTGCCACGCATATCCGCCACCGCGCTTGGCACGGCAATTGCGTTGCATGGTTGTTGCGGTGCCTCGTGGGGGCCTTGCTGGGGCCTTTTGGGAAGTTTGGAGCCGCCTGCGGGGGCACTTAGGAATGTCGGGGGGTCGTGACGCTGTTTTGGAGAGAGCAGGGCCGCGTTGCGGGAGGGGCTCTGGGCCATTCCAGGGCGATCTTGGGGTTGTTTGGGGTTAGTTTTGAGCCATTTTGGGGCCACCTTGGAGTTTTCTCAGACGGGATGATTGGTCCAGCGGGGCACCGTCAAGGGCGCCCGAACGCCATCCAGAGGCCGACAAGGAGTCATCTTAAATGTTGCGGGGTGGCGAGGCAGAAGCATTGAGACGCATGAGTCCATCGCGACCCCAGCCAGGAGAGTCCTCATGACGAGTGCAAGCCAAAGACTGGCGAACTTGTGTTGGTTTGCTTTGGTCTTCAGTTTAACGTGGCTTCTTCGTAGTGTTATGCATGGCGCTGGATTTACAAGTTGAATATCGTTGGTTTGCTCGCTTTGCGTTGCTTGGCCATGGTTTTGTGATTGCGTTGGCATGCTCCTAACGCAGTGAAGAGTAAGGACCTCAAAGGTAAAGCGCGATTGGGGAATCAGGGGAGTCAACAATGTTCGCCAACGTGTGTGTTTGGCGTCGCAAGTGTCTTCTGGGCGTATCCTTTGAGACCTGGTAGGGCCTTCGCGGGGTCGCGGGTGACCGTTCGAAAGGCTCCGAAATGTGCGTCCAAGGCCTTTGCAACTTTATCGCGCATCCTTACAATATGCGCCGACTGTAGGTGGAGCTCCCAATGGGGGGGGGGAGGGCTCGACCCATGTGAGGGGTGAGCCCCACATGAGGGATGGAGCGTGTGCGAAGTGGCCTGGCGCGCTGAGGCCGCAGGCGTCAGAGTGGCACGATCCGCGCGAGTGGTGAGAGCCGAGATGGTTGGCGAGGGGGCCCATGCAGACTGGCCCATGCAGACTCAACACACTGGCGCTCGCGTGTGGGCGCGTGCGGTTTGAGCTCCTTAGCCGGGGGCCGCGATCCGTGTGAGAGGGGCGTGTCGACATGGAGAGAAGGTCAGGAATGGCAGGGGGGAAGCGGAGGAATGAGGAAGGATGACAAGGATCAGGACACGGCAGTCGGGTGTCCGAATGTCAATCCCACTTTACTTGGTGGACCCCAGAGGTTAAAATGTGGATGCAGGCCCGAAAACCTCTTGGCTTGGGGGCTGCTGGGGGCCAGCCTCCCCCCCAGGCCCGGCGGGAGGGGAAAGGCAGCCCAGCTTGACGGGAGGCCCTCCTTCTCCTCGTCCTCCTCCTCCTCCTCCTCCTCCTCCTCCTCCTCCTCCTCCTCCTCCTCGCTCCGGCGGGCAGCAGGACCGTCGGCGGGTGGAGGCGGCCGCCTTGTTATGGTACGCCTCCCCCGCCGAAGACCTCGCGGCAGACGGGCCCACCCTCCCCCCCCCCACCCTCCCCCTAAATCGAAGGGAGAGCAGGAGCAGAGCTGGCCACGGCGTGGGTGAGACGGTCCCCCACGCAGTTCTGGAGGCGCACCGCACTGGCTGGGCCTGCAGACGAGGGGGGCTGCAGTCTCAGCGTGCAGGAGCTGCTCCCGTGCTGCTGGCCCCGTACACTGCGACACGAGCGGGCACCGCGGCAGTGCCAGACCCACCAGACCCTACGCAAAGCTCGGTTGTCATTACAGCTGTTTCTACGTTGCCCACGGCTCGCGAAGGAGCCAGAGCGTTGCCAGATTCCCCAGACCACTTGCACCAGAAGCCCTCATAGGCTCATCTGTTGGCCTCATCACGACAACTGGTTTAGGCCAAACCTTGTTGTTGCCGCCAGCTGCGCATTCCTCATGCGGGGGTAGCACTCGTTCGCGAATTGGACTGTGGGTGCGCTTGCCGCCACCGCCGTCATCGAGCTCGGCTGGTTCTCGCGGCAGTTGAGCACTGCTGGCGACGGGTTGGTGGGTGCATTTCGGCCGGGTGTGGCTCGATACACGTTCTGCTGCTGCTGCGCAGGCTGCTCCGTTTGGTGCTGTGTTCGCTACGCAACGTCGTAGCCCCATGATTGCCCGTTGGCGGTCCATCGCGTGTGTATTATTTCGAGGTTGTCCGCCTTGCGCCTTGTCCAGCCCAGCTCCCACGGGAAGGGCCCTAGGATGTCATGTTTTTTGTCGTCCAAGTGGGCGGTGAGTAGATTGGCGCCGTCGGTGACAATGTCCGTGTTCGTGATTTGGGATCGCATGGCCTGCACTTGGGCCCTCCCCATCGCCTCCTGGTGGTTGAAGCTCATGTGGTCCCCGAACTGAGGAGCCTCTCCTTCTGGCGGTAGAGGCCGCAGAGCACCCCGATGGCCCTTTGGTGGACGTCGTTGTGCACCTCAGCTGTGGCCTGCAACGTGGAATGGGCCGCCTGCAATTTGTTGTTGTTTTTATTTTAAACGCGTTCTAAACTTAAACAGCGTTTGTTGCCAGCGCTGCTGCAATCTGTATCCCACGGTGCCCATGATCTGGTTGTGGTCATCGCCCCCGTTGGGCACCTGCCTGCCGCTTGGATTCCTACCTGGTGCCTCCCCTGCGGCGGGAGAGTCTGCCGCGATTTGTCCCAGGCCGTCGGGTTCGCCGCGGGATCGGTTTCGGCATGGCTGGGCCGCCGCTGCGTAGTACTGGCTGCAACAGAGACAGTTGTCGGCGGCGAGCGAGGGGGGGGAAGTGAGAAGGAGAAGGTCGTCTCAGAAGGCGGCGGGACTCCTCGGAAGCCCTCGCGCCTTTTCAGAAGTTGTTTCTGCGTCTTCGGGGAAGGCTCAGAAAACTTCTCAGAAGGCCAGGGGACTTCCGAGACTTCTGAGAAGGCCCGCTCCTTCTCACTTCCCCCCGGGCGCGCCGCCTAAATTGAGAGGTCGTGAGGCCGTTCGCTGAAAGAGTAAGATGGTTGCGGGGTGCCGAACTGGTCGCACAGTCGTGACTTTAGATGTCTCCAGGCGGTCGGTCGCCTGAGCACTTAGGAAGGAGCAGGAAGAGGAGGAGGAGGAGAATGGAGCGCGGGACATCGAGGAGTCAAAACGAGAGCATCCGCGGGAGGGTTGGGAAGAACAAAGAGGGGGCCCAAACAAAAGACAATCTAATGAGATAGCTCGATGCGCACGCACCGCGCTGCAAGCGCGATGGCGGGTTTTACGGGCGCGTCGCGCTTCCAGTTCCCACAGTGGCTCCTGGCGGCGATGAAGTTCTCCGGAGCGTTTGAGGATGTGTTTGTGGATCAGGTCCAGGTGGTCGCATACCTCCACGACTGGCAGCCGAACAGCAGTACGGGAGGAGAGTTTGTCTACTGGAGTGGGAATGTTGCTCCGCGGCGCGTGAAGCCAGTACCCAGATCGGGGACTGCTGTCGATGGGTCAAAGGTTGTGCATGCCGCCACCGTTTACAGGCCCGATGCTGTCCCTCCCTTGATGGACAAGTCGAAACACAATGTGCTGAAGTATGTGAAGGAACTCGACTCTTGGGAAATGTTATCGAATGGTGAGACTGTTGGTGTGTACAGCACATCTGACCTTCGTGCAACAATTGTTTACCGAGCGCGCTGCTTTGCGGATGCGAGAGAGGCTGAAGCATTCAGAGCCCTTCCAGAGTCTGAGTACCTATCGTTAGAATATGTGCTTAGGCGCCTCGGGCGTGTGCTGCTGCAGGAGCACGGGGTCGATATAGATCCGCAGAAGTCTTCGCCTCTGGATATGGCACTTGCCATCCTGGACAATGTGATCAAGTATCCGTTGCCAACTGACGTCTATATGTAAGGCTGCGCCCTGTGCCGTCGCCCCCCCCCCAAAAAAAATGAGCCATGCTGAGGCCTTCAAGTGGCCATCGGGGCCTCGTTGGGCTACCTTGGAGCATCCTGTGGGTATACCCTCTAGGGGCCATCCTTTTGACCTTCTCAGTGTGTGGTTCGGGCCGTCGTGGGCCATGGCCATGTTGGAGGCACCCTTTGGCCACCTTGGGTCATTTGGTCTCACGAACCCCCTTCGGGGCATCTTGGGGCTACCTGGAGGCCTCTTTGACCTTCTTGGCCTTCCAGGCACATCGCTATTGTAATCCTGAGGTATCCTCGAGCGGCCAGGGGGCCGAGGGATCCCCGCCGCGGACCACCCGAAGGCAGCAGAAATGAGACAGGACTGGAGCTCAAAGGCGCGAAGAGAGAGAGAAAGAGAGAGAGAGAGAGCGAGAGACACGCGGGCAGACAGAGGGACAGACAGAGAGAGAGAGAGAGACTGACAGACAGACAGAGAGGTAGAGAGGCAGAGAGACAGCGAGAGAGAGAGAGAGAGAGAGCGCAAGATGCGCCAGCAATGCAGCAGCCCAGGCGTCACACAGCCCAGCCTGGCCACCAAGGGATCTGGCGGATCTTCCGCTGAACTACTGTGCCCTTGCCCGTTTGGCTCCGTGGACCGCGCCGTTGCTGAACCCAGTCTGCTAGGCTCCAGGAGGTTCCGACGGGCCACGAGGGGTAGATCCCCGCGAACGCTTGAGGAGCCCATGAGATTTCCAGGCATCTCTGCCCAGCGCGGAGGAGGAGGAGGAGGAGGAGGATCAGCAGCAGCAGGAGCGGGCTCGGGGTTGGCTTAGAGCGGCCCTGCCAGGGGCTGGCTCCAGACCGGAGGCTTCCGGCGAGTGGGTGGCGAATCGTTTTCACGACGGGTCTGGTCGGGTGTTGACGAAGGCGTGTTTGGCTCAAGGCGTCCCCAGCCAACTCTCCCAAGCCGCTCCCGAGCGTCGGGAGACTCGTCTGGGCCATTCGAGAAGTCCACCCGAGCCTCTCCTGCAGGCCTCGGGACGCCTTGGGCCAACACCACTACCAACACCCAATCTGAGGGCGACGGGGGATGAGGAAGAAGAGGAGGAGGAGGAGGAGGAAGAGGAGGGTGGGACGTGACTGAGGGAGGGGGAGGATGAGGAGGAGGAGTAGGAGGAGGAGGAGGCGGAGGAAGCGGAGGAGGAGGAGGAGGAGGACGAGAGGGATGAGGAGGGAGAGATACAAGCCAGGTGCATTCACGCCATCTCTGACATCCTTCTCCTCCCGCCCATCTTTTCCAACTGCGCTGATTCTCTTTCTAGACTATCCGCGAACGCAGAAGAGCAGGAAGGCGGAGGGAGGAAGAGGAGGACAAGAGGTGACTGAGGCAAAGGGGGGAGGAGGAGTAGGAGGAGGAGGAGGAGGTCTAAAAAGGGATTTTTTGGGGCTGGCATACGATCCAGGTCCCAAGAGTTGTTTATCCTGACAGATATGAGCTCAGAATGGGCCCAGGTATCATCCGCTGAGGGTCTGGCAGCAGGATGCAGAGGTCACCCACTTTGCGACAGCAGTGCCTGATGCAGCAGTTCCCGCCAGCGGTAATATCCTTGCCGCTCTACTATTACATCCGACTGACAAGTAAGACGTCCGCCACATGTGGGATTCAGCCAAGGAGGTTTGAGCCAAACAAAACATAGCTGTCATGAAGGAGAATAGCGATGGTGTTCGGAGGTTGTCAAAAACAAGTTGACCTTCAGGGGCTAGCTGGACACACAGGTTCCCCAGGACATGGCAACAGGATGAACCCAGCCTAGCAGTCGAGAAGGATGCAGAAGGACATGGTGGTTAAGGCGAACAGACGGGCGAGCCGATAGGGAAGAACACGAGGAGCAGCGAATCATTGTTTTATGCTGTTGGTTCCGACGCCTGCGTGATGCAGCGCACTCCCAACAGAAAGCGCTGCCGCTTCCTGATCTTACCTTGGGTGATCTCACACAAGGTAAGAGGTACTTCAAAGACCATGCAGGGCTCGGTGCTGATCCGTGGAATCCCAGGCAATGCTAAGTCTTCTAGGGCAAGGACAAGAGAAACTTCTGGATGTGTTCGTAGGAGTGGATACCCAACTTTCATGGTCCGTACAGACCCTCATCAATGTGGTTGCCCTGACCCCGAGCCCCCGGCTGGAGGATATATACCTAAGTATCACTTCAACGCCAGGCCCTTATGGACTGCGGAGTGTGATGCGCAAGCAACCGATCCAGACCTGCGAGCAAAACAAGGTAGGCTTCTGGGATTCAGTCAAAGGAAGCGGCCACTTCACGCAGCAATCCCAAGACAACTCAAGGCTGAAATTTGCGGCCTCCTGAACATCAGTTGGGCGCAACTTCTCTGACACGCGGAAAAGCTTTACGATCTGATTCGGCCCGAGACGCTAGCTGCAGTTGTTGAAGGACTCGGTCCCCCTCCTGCCCCCTGAGATTTGGCTATGTTGCAGCACTTGGCAGATCGCTGGCCCGCAGTAGGCAGTCCTTTGCCTGAGAGCGCAGAAGTGGCACGCTCTAACATAGCATGTTGCATGCAGAGCGCAGCCTGGTCCAGAGTCTATATGTGGGGTATGTTAGATAGCACACTGGGTTTACCCACCTCCACGGAACTCAACTGGCAGCTTGGCGGGTGAAATCGCGCAGCTGAATATCTGCACGGCTGAACATGTAGCGCACCAGGCTACGGCTTCGGCTCAGCAGCGGACGACGCGCATGCGCAACACGGGGCTCCGCATCTCCAAGAAATCGGTCGGCTTGGCATGCGCGGCAACTGAAACGAGAGCTGAGGAAAGGAATCCAGACGCTGGGACCCCCGATCAAAGTGGCTCTGCCGGCAAGAGATCTCGGGATGGATGTCGCCACTGCAACGAGGGCCCAAGGGCCCATCGAAGGGAGACAACGGAAAGCCACGCCTAGAGCTCAGGCGATCAAACTTCGAGGTAAATCTGTTCGGGCTGGCCAAGAAGCCGGCCATGACTGGCCACGAACCACAGGCGCCCTGGGGATCGGTGATGCCGGCCCTGGCGCCCACGGTTTCAAACAAGTTGAGTGTCCAAGTTTCACGCGCGCGCTGCAGTAAGCGGGCTGGAGGCTGCGCCGCCACGGCCACCCGATTCATTTTAGGTAAACGGAGTGGTCCCTTTTTTGGAGCGGACCTTTAGAGCTCTTGAAGACCTTGCGGGACCTTCTTCCCAGGGTTCCAGAATGAAAGCCCGCCATCGACAAGGCCTGGCAGGGAAGTTTGGCTCAGGTGCAAGGAGCTGAACGCCGTTGGCTTCAGGTCAGGGGCCACGCGTCAACAGTCCAGGCAACCCTGCTCGACATGAGATGGCAGCCCGACGCGCGAGGAGAATGGGCCATTCCACGTGGAGAAAGATGCAGTTTGGATGGAGTCGAAAGCCTAGATCGGCTGGGCCTCGGGGCAGAATCCCCCCTGGAACCTTGGAACGTGCCGTTCGGACCCAAACCGGCAAACATTTTGCGGGCGCGGGGGGTTGAGCATGGGGCGGATTCGACCGCGACCCGGGCCCGCTCGGAGAGTTGAAGAGACCGCAATGTAAATCGCGAAGCCACGGTCCTTGAGATCGCCAGCCAAGGGGTCTTGCTGCCCAATCAGCGTAAATTGAGATACGGAGAAGGAAAAACAAACTAGGTACGACAATATGCCCTAGATGCGGGGTGGTGGATGAAGCATTATACCACCAGTTTTGAGGATGCCCTGCAATGGAAACCTTCCCAATTTATACAGCGATAAGCGAACTATGTGCACAAGCTAGAGTGCAACCAGAAGTGCATCCATGCATGTGGCTTCGAGGCCGCGCCCCGATTCTTTAGGCCACGCCCCGCCCGCGGACGCCCCTTTGCCAGAAGAATGCCAAGTTCCAGTGGGGGAGTGGCCAGGGGAGCGGCGCCGCATAAGGCTCGCACCTGACGCCGTCATAGGCGGCGACGGCTCCGGGGGGCGAGCGCAGCGAGGACCCCTGACTCAGGCGCGCCGGCTGGGCCTCCGCCATGCGCCGCGGGAGGGGGGCGGCCCGCGCCCCCAGGCGCGGCGCAATTTCTGGCTGGAGGCAGACAGTGCCCGGGGCCGAGCTGCCAGCAGTAATTCGCGCGCTACAAACTACAACCGCTGACGGCACGCATATAGCCGATGCGCCCAACGTCGCTAAACGGTCCAAGAGAGGCCCGCATCTAAGATGCCAGCGCAATGCTGATTTGCGGCCTCAGCGCCGACGTGCTGCATAGGGGCGCGACGGCGCACTCGCTCTTATTAAGGTCGAGAGCCGCCCCGACAGGACGGCAGTAGGCCCGAATTCTCCAGTTGAACATTGGCGCGCTAATCAAGGGGCTGACCAGCTAGCGGCCACTGCTGCTCAGGAGGCCAAAGTTGCACGCAGGTTGCCCGGGCGGGTCCGAGGGGCCGACCAATTGGCCCGGCGGGCCCAAATTCGCTTTGCGTCGGCGGCCCCGGAGGTGGCCAAGCATGCCAGAGACGTTTCGCGGCGCCGCTGTAAAAGGAGATTTGCACGCAGGGGCAGCCCCCGCAGCCGCAGCGAGGGAGGGGGCCCCTACTACGTGCTGGCTTCGAGCCCCGAGTGATGCAGTTGCAGATTTTGTTTACCTGCAACAAGCCGGCGCGCGCGACCTCGAGGAGCTCTCGGCCCCGCAGTGTTTGGGGCGCCCGTTTCAAACAGACGTCTCTCATCGGATCGAGAACTACCGAAGACTTTGGTTTTGTCGCTTGTGCGAAGCACAAGGCGTGGAGCGATGCGCCAAGCTTGCCAATTCCCGCGGCCGACAGTTGCCCGAGGGCGACAAGGCTACGCTCAGAGCAAGACCTTAGAAAGGTGGCCCGATAACGCCCTCCCCCTCCTCCCCTGGCTGGCTCTGCTCCTGGCGCCAGCTCCTCTGCTGGTGCCGCGCGATTGCTCCAATCCTCGGCAGAGAATGCACCGCGCGGAGCCGGGGCGACCAAGCAGCCAGGGCCTGTCGTCGAGGCTTCGAGCGCGACCAGGTCCGCTGCTGGATCGCAGACTCCCCCGCCACAGCACTCGAGTAGCCGAGTTGCCGAGTCTGGGCAGCACGGCGAGAAGGAGGGGGATATTGCTCGTTTCTTCTTTGTGTGATGGAGGGCCTTTAATCCCCCAGGGTGGCCCATCAGCGACCAGATCCAGTCGCCCAGCCTGTCGTCGCGATGGAAGAAGCTGCTGAGGCCCAGAGCGTGGCAGGCCTGGGGTTCGCCCCCGCCGAGGGCAGTGGGACCCCTAGCCATGCGGGACGAGGTGGGGTTGCAAAGCTCCCCACTCGAAGTCGGCGCATGGAGGCCTCGCTAGGAACTGCGTGTTTTTCAAGCTCGGGGACAGGAGGCGCTGCACTGGGCGCAGCCGCATTGGGCCAGCAGCAAGGCGATCCAGTCGTCGCGTCGCCAGTCGTTCTGGCCCTGCTGAGACCCAGAGTGAAGCAGGCCTCGGGTTCGCCCCCGCTGAGGGCACAGTGACCCCTAGCCATGCGGGACGAGGTGGGCAGCCGCGAACCGCACTCGAAGTCGGCGCATGGAGGCCTCGCTAGGACACGTTCGGTTTTCAAGCACAGCCACCCCAAAAGGCCATCAGCAGCCTGACCCAGCCGTCAGCCCGTGAGTCGTTGCGGAAGGAGCTGCGAAGACCCAGGGGGCGGCACTAAGTCATGTGAGAGAACAGCTGCACCTCAAGGAGGAAGAGCAGCCACTGTCACCCTCACTCGTTCAGGCACTTGGAAGAGCATCAGACTCTTCGGGCTAGATTCAGGCCACCTTTGGAAGACCTGATCGACAGGTGAGCCTATCCATGAGCGGCGGCCCCGAAGAGGGCGGGGACTCCTCGGGGACAGGGGGCGGTCGCCTCGCCGGGGTCTCCCTTTTTGAAGAAGCGTCGACGTGGACGTCGGGCGCGCCTCAGGCGGTAGCGCCGGAGGAGGAGGAGGAGGGGGGGGAGGAGAAGGAGGAGGAAGTGGACGGGGACGAGGGCGGGGACGAGGACGAGGACGGGGACACGCACGAGGACGCGGACGAGGAAGAGAAACAGGAGGAGGACAAGGAGGTGGAGGAAGATGAAGAGAGGGAGGAGGATAAGGAGGAGGAGGAAGAGGAGGAGGAGGAGGTGGAGGAGGAGGCGGAGGAGGAGGAAGAGGAGGCGGAGGAGGAGGAGGAAGAGGAGGTGGACGAGCAGGAGGAGGCGGAGGAGGACAAGGAGGAGGAGGAGGAGGAGGAGGAGGAGGACGAGGAGGAGGAAGACGAGGAGCAGGAAGACGAGGAGGAGGAGGAAGAGGAGGAGGACGAGGAGGAGAGGAGGGAGGAGCAGGAGCAGCAGGAGCAGCAGGAGCAGGAGCAGGAGGAGCAGTTGCAGCAGCAGAAGGAGCAGAAGCAGGAAGCCCCCGCGGCGGCGCGAGGCGCCCAGATGCGCCTCCCGACAACCTGGGGCGGGCACGTGGAGGTGCAGGCACTGGCGAGGTGCCACGGCGTCGGCGCCCCAGACGCGCTCCCCGGACTTGGGCCGCCGCCAGCAAGTTGCCGTGCATCGACCGAGGGGGCGGGACGCGGCCAGACCCTCCTCCTCCTTCTCCTCGTGTTCCTCGTCCTCCTCCTCCTCCTCCTTCTCCTCGTCCTCCCCCTCCTCCTCCTCCTCCTCCTCCTCCTCCTCGTCCTCCTCCTCCTCCTCGTCCTCCTCCTCCTCCGCCTCCTCCCCCTCGCCCTCCCCTGGAAGGAAATCTGGATTTCACGGTGAAGCCAGGAATCACTTGCACGCCATGTTGACCCAGCGCCGTTTGGAGGGGGGGGGGGGGGGGGGGGGGGGAAATCCGCGGAGATCGACTTGCCAGAATCTGAAGTGCAGCACGCTCAAAGAAAGACGTCCTGAGAGAGACAGGCCCTGAAGTCTTCCCCCGTTTCTGGCTCCCCCCCCCCACGGGCCACGGGATTGCTGGAAAACGACTCCGGACGAAAAGCTGGCTCCGGGGTCCAGGACCCGGTTGCCTCCTGCCAGCGGAGGCGACGGCAGGGGCGGACGGCCCGGGAGCGGGCGGTGCACGCACTCGCTGGCCGTGTCTGGGAGGCGGCGATGGCGGCGAAGAGCCCCGTTTCAAGGGCGCCCAAAAAAACGCCCCTACCCTGGTTTGCGAGGCGCTGTGCGCTGAGCCTCCTGTGGGCTGACGGGACACCCGGCCTGATGTGCGGCGTCCCGGCGGCGTCCTAGGCTCTGGGACGTCCCAGGAGGTCTTCGGACCACGCACTCGTAGCCCAGGGTAGGGCCGTTTCTCCATCCCCTTAATTGTCGCATGTTGGTGCGATCCACGTGGGCACGGAAAGATCAGGAGGGGAAAAAACACACAGACACAATTCATCGTCTACTCCCAGGAAAATATTGGAATATGGGAATTGGGGGGAAGACAGAAACACAGAAAATATGGGAAACTATGCGGATATGTGTTTTATTATTGTATTTATTTGTGTGTCCCAGGGCCCCTTCAAAAGAGCGGGGACGAAGACCGACAGCAGTGCTTGCCCTTTTTGAGCGGGAGTCGCCGTCGGCATCCCGGCGGACGGCGTGCACGTGAGACTCGGGAGCCTTGAGACGGAGGTCAATGCAAACGGGGGTCAGCCAGAGCGCCGGATCTTGCAGGATCCTGCAGGGACAGGGTCGCATTGACCCGGGCTTGGGTGCAGGATCCTGCAGGATCTTGCAGGATCATTCGCATTGACCCGGGTTTGGGTGCAGGATCTTGCAGGATTTTGCAGGGCCTGACTGACCCGGGTCTGGATTGACCCGGGTCAGAAGATCACCGAAAGATAAGGAGTCGCCTGCTCCGCAGCGGCCAGGCAGGCTCGTGCCGCGTCGGCTCTGCGCCGCGGGCGTCTTCAAGGCTGAACGACGCCAGGTGCCACTCGTCGAACATTGGAGGACCTGCGCGTTCGGAGCGTCTTCAAGGCTGAACGACCCACGCGGCATGGAACAAATAACGCCCAAGTCGTTGCGACACAACTGTGCCGACGTAGTCTCAAGTCGGGCCTGTCCCTCTACAGGAGGGATATTCGAAAACAGTAACCAAATTGTCTGGGGACGATCTTTCGACTATTTTTGAGACGATGTTTCGACTATGCTTGAGAACGTGTTGGGAGTACTTTTTGAGTATTTTGGATCCTTCGCCCAGGATCCGCCTGCAGGGGAACAGGCCCGACCTAAAACAGACGCCCACGTCGTTGCGACACGAATCTGCAGACGCCGTCGCCGGGGACCCTCGCCCTCATTCTTCCAGACCTTCCGTGCTGACCTTGCACGATCATGCGCTTCGTGAAGTGCTCAATTTTCTTGCGTTTCCTGAGGCGTTCAGGAGTTTCAATGCGTCACCTTCCGCGCCTTCCGCAGAGGTCGGAAGGTATGGAAGATGGAGGTGGAGGGGAGCCTCGCCGAAGGCATGGACTCCGTCGGCGCCCCTCGGATGAGTACACGGAGGCGTCCCCTCTGGGCCGCTCGCCCCCTCCGCCGTCGCCTCCGCGGGTGCCGCTCGTGCGGGCTCCCAGGGGTCGAGGGCCCACCGAGGAGGAGGAGGAGGAGGAGGAGGAGGAGGAGGAGGAGAAGGAGAAGGAAGAGGAGTAATCAGGAGGAGGAGGAAAAAGAGGAGGAGGAGGAGGAAGAGGAGGAGGAGGAGGAGGAGGAGGAGCGAGCGGACCTCGCCATGGATCGGAGAAGAAACAAACACACGCACACACAAACTGTTGTTCGCTCCGGCCGTCGCCTCCGAGGGTTCCGCTCGTGCGGGCTCCCAGGGGTCGAGGGCCGCCCGCCATGGATCGAAGAAGAAAAAAACCATACTCCAGATTTCGTAATAAATGGGAGGGGGTCTGGACCCTCCAAGACAAGCCATTTCAGACCTCCCCTGTGGGAGAGCCCTCCAAAACATCGTCCCCAGACCCCCCAGGCCCTCCAAGATAGCCTGGAAGAGACCCCCCCCCCGAAATGAGACCCCCCTCCCTTTATTACGAAACCTGGAGTACACGCAAACTGTGGGCGCTCCGCGCGGGCTTCTTGGATCCGCGCCGGGGCTCCCCCCGGCGGCCGCGCTCCGCGCGCCGGGGAGGGGGGGCCCAGCGCAGGTGCAAGAGAACCGCGCGGAGCGCCAGAAGTTTATGTTTGCGGCTGCCTCAGCCAGCGGAAGGCCGACGACCACCCCGGCGCAAAGTCGCCGCAGCACCTGCCGTCGCGGCTCCTGCGCCCAACGCCGCCGCCGCCGCCGCGAGAGGAAGGGGGTTTGGAGCCCAGGTAGCCTCCAGTACCCCCCGCGCTCGTCGGCGTGGCGGAGGCGCTTCCCCCGTTCGTGTTTTTTTGTTTTCTAGGGAAAGAAGGCTTTCAGGGGCAGCGTCAGGAGGGGGGGGATCGACTCGGGAGGGGACGCACCGGCCCCCAATCGCTCAACGATCGCCGACGGGGGCCTGATGCCCAACCCCGCCCCGGACGTGGCGTGTTCGCTGCTTCTCCGGGGCGGTGCCTACCGCCGACTGATCGGCGATGTATCGCCGACTCTTGGTCGACGTTTCCTCGCCTGAGCCGCCCCCCCCCCCGTATCGTTCCCCCTCATCTTGGCATCGCTCGGACGTGTGCATGTTTCCTTCGGCGAGGGCCATCGAGGAGCATCTTCGATCATCTGGCGAGAAAACAAAAACGCGCACGAAGCCGAAACCAGCACAGGGAATGGACGTCCGAGCGATGGCCAGTCATGCGGGCTCCAGGGTCGACGAGGGCGGGGGCTGCTCCCTCCGGCGGCGGACGTGGCGGCTCTTCGCCGTCGACCCCCCTCCGCCAATAGTCTGGGCGGGTCTCTGTGCAGGAGCTCCCCTGTCCTTCCAGGTAGTGCCGTCCTTGCTCCCCCTCCAGAGGGCCTCCACCTCCTCCTGCTTCTTGTCATCCTCCCGTCGCACCCTCGTCCTGTCAGCATCGTCATCATCACTCCACTTCCTGACTGCTGTTGCTTATTTTCCTCACCGCCCACGCCAGCATTGCCCGTCTCCACTCTCCCTGCTCTTGCTCCTCCTGCTCGCCCTGCTTCCCGCATAGTTGTAAGTCGGGCCTGTCCCTCTACAGGAAGAATATTCCAAGATAGTCAAAGAATAGTCAGGGGACGATGTTTGTTAACTATGTTTGACCATTCTGGGAATATTTGCTGAGTATTTACAGTTTTTCGCCCAAGTTTCACCTGTATGGGGGGCAGGCCCGACCTAAGCATAGTTCCCCTTCTTACCCCACTGGCTACGAGCGAGGCCGAGCCCACGACAAGCTCCCCTGGGTACCAGGAGAAAGCCATTCCAGCAGCCGCGCGGCTCAGACAGGGCACCCCTCGAGGGGAAAATTCGGGAGCCGCTCGTTTTCCAGTTATGATCGGAGGTTGATCGACCTCCTGCCCTGACACGTCGATTGGCGAATTGGCCGTTCTCGGTTCGCGAGAGGGCGTCGCGGCCGTCATTTTTGCGGGTCCAGGTCCGTCGGTTTCGGTCCCAGGCCGTTTTCATGAAGGGGAGGTTTATTAAAGGTAGGTTTGTCCACCGCCGATATGGAAGCAGTGAAAATGTGTCCGCTCGCGGTGGCGAGAGGGACGTCGAGTGACACCATCCCGATGTTGCTGGCTCTGAGGTCAACGCCATCATATACAGGCCGTCGGAGGCCCTACGCTGGGATCGCCAGCGCTGGTGAGGGAGGAGGCGGGAGGGGGGAGGTGGGCGAGGCAATGAAGAAGGGGAGAGGGAGGGAGATAGAGGAGAGGAGGAGGGAGATAGAGGAGAGGAGGAGGGAGATAGAGGAGAGGAGGAGGGTGAGGAGGAGGAGGAGGAGGAGGAGGAAAAGGGGGGAGCAGGGGGACGGAGGGGAGGAGGGAGGAGAAGGAGGAGGAGGAAGAACGGAATGAGAAGGAATGGGCGGGGAAAAGAGGAAGAGGAGGGGAGGAGGGAGAGGAGAGGACGACAAGAAGCAGGTGGAGGATCAGGAGGAGGAGGAGGAGGAAGAGAAGGAAGGAAGGAAGGAGAGGGAAGAGGAGGAGGACAAAGGATGGCTTCAGGTCTGCGACCAAGTCCGCTATGAGAGTGAGTGAGAGCGAGTGAGGAAGATCATGATCAGGAGGAGGGGGATGATGAGGAGGAGGAGAAGAAGGAGGAGGAGGAGGAGGAGAAGAAGTAGGATGAGGAGGAGGAGGAGGAGAAGCGGGAGGAGGAGGGAGGAAGAGGGACAGCAAGAAAGAGCAAGGCACCGGCGCGGGCCGGGCGGGAAGCATGTGCAGGAGAAGCGGGCGGGCGGGCGAGGGCGCGAAGCCGCTAGGTGGAGGAGGGTGAAGGCGGCCAGGGCAAGAGATGGGAAGCATTAAGTCGGGCCTGTCCTTCTACAGGGGGAATATTCAAAGTCTGAAGACGATTTATTGATTATTTGTGGGCATGTTGTAAATATGTGTGGGGAATGCTTTATTTGTCGTCCAAAATCCGCCGGTAGGGGGACATGCCCGACCTAAGGGAAGCACGAGAAGGGCAGCCAGTGTGGCACCCGGTGCGGGGGGGGGGTGCTTGGTCCAGAGATGATTCCTTGATGTATTCCTCACCTTGCTCCTTCTCAACCTCATGCCTCCGCATCCTCGTCTTCATCTTCATCTTCGTCAACAGCAACATGCATGATCAGCATCACTCTCATCAATGTCATCTGCATTACCATCATCATCATCGTCACCATCACCCATCCGCTTCAATATCGTTTTCTCTCCCTCCCTCTCTCTTTCTTTGTTTCTCTCTATCTCTCTCATCCTGTTCCTCCTGCTCTCTGCCCTCGCCTCCTCCTGTTGATTGTCAAACTCCTCGTCATCTTCCCACTCCTCCTCGCAGTCCCACTCAAGAGGGGTCACCAAGCAGCGCGACGGGCGGTCGGCGAACGATTGCCAGCCCGCCGTAACAGCGCCCAACATGCAGCGAATTCGTCGTAGAGTGTGAGGAGGAGGAGGGGAATAAGAATAACGAAAAGGAGGGGGAGACGAGAGAAGGCGCAGGAGGGAGGGAGCAGAAGGAGCAGGAAGAGGAGGGGGGCAGCTGCGCAGCTTCCCGAAAAGACCGCTGAGATCGGCAAGCGAAGGCCACTGGAGGAAACGAGAGGCAAGGAGAGGCAACGTCGCTTGGCCCATTCCAGATTTGACAATGCACCCATTGGTTGTTCAGTGGTGCCAAAGGCGTGTGAGACAAGCTGTTTAGGGAAAATCGAGAAACCGGATCTCTGAGGCAAGGGTGGCAGCCGGTGTCTTTGTCGTGTTCTTCAGTTTCCTACTCATATTCCGATTCGTTCCTCATCCTCGCCATCATCATCATTACCATCATGAATCCATGTGTTGTTTGCTCTCTCTCTCTCTCCCTCTCTTCCTCTCTCTATATATCCTCTTTTACTCTCCGCGTTATCTTCTTATTTGTGTTGGTTGTCCGCTGTACCGTCATCCTCTGACTCCTGTCGTTTGTTGTTGCAGGATTTGTTTGCACAGTCCTGTCTAAGAGGGGTCGCCAAGCAACGCGACAGGCGATCGGCCAAGGATTGCTGGTCCGCCGTAGCAGCGCGCAGAGTGCAGCGAATTCTTTGTAGATGGTGAGGAGGAGGAAACTGAGATGGGCGAGTAGAAAGGCGGGATCACAGAGTACGAGGAGGAAGCGGGGGAAGAGAGCGCGAGGGGAGGAGATAATAGACGAGGAGGAGGGGAGGAGGAGGGGGAGGAGGAGGGAGAGGGGCAGGAGGGGGAGAGAAGAGATCATGGGGGAGAAGAGGAGGAGGAGGTGGAGGAGGAGGAGGAGAAGGGTGAGGAGGAGGAAGGGGGGGGGAGGAGGAGGAGGAGGGAGGAGGAGGAGGAGGAGCAGGAGCAGGAGCAGGAGCAGGAGGCGGTGCGAGCGGCCACGCGGTTAAGGGGGGAGGCATGTCTCGCTTGCGTCAGGGGGCACGCGTCGCGTCGGTTTGGGCAGGCAGATACCCGAGCGGATGCGATGACGGTCTGGTGCTCGCCTTGAGGGCACCACATGCTGAAGACGAGACGTAGACAACAGCATCAAACAACAACCAAAACACATAACTTCGAGGATGAGAAGGAGGGTCGAAGTGACGAGAGGGAGGAGGAGGAGGAGGAGGAGGAGGAGGAGGAGGAGGAGGAGGAGGAGGAGGGGGAGGAGAAGGAGCAGGAGGAGCAGGAGGAGAACTTGGAGAAGGAGGAGAAGGAGGAAGAGGAACTCTGACTTACACAACGAAGTTCAGCCTCCACCAGTTCCCAGATCCCCCCAATTCCCGATCGCTGGCCTGCGGACCGGCCAGACGTTTGTTTGTCATCGACGAGGTCTTCCCGTCACAGTCACTAACTAACCTGCCTATCCGCATCCGTTCTGGTACAAGATGGCTCGGGAGGCAGATGAGGTATCAGTTGCCAGGCCCAGCGTGCCTCCACGGGCTCTGCATTATAGCAGTCGCCGCCGGCTACCCGCCGCCTCCTCGCTTCATGCTGCTGTCCGGAGCTGTCGTCGTTATTGGCGTTGGTGGTGGCATTTTGGCAGTTGTCTGCAGCCGTTGCCGACACCAGAGACAGCGGGGGAGGAAGCCAGTTGCATGCTCAGTGGATGGAACAGGGGCTCGTGCATCTCGCTGTCGACTGGTGTTAACTAGCAATGGGCTGTCGTCAAAAGAACTGAAGGAGGAGTTTCGCAGGTTACTAGGTCCGCATCCTGCTGAAGTATCTGTCTGGTACGTGCCCACTCGCGATTGGCTTGGACGCTTGCGGGATCCTTCGTATTTCGAAGAACAGATCGGGGAGTTCAAGCGGGAATTTGGTGTTGGAGAAGTACGCTCTGTCGATATCGAAAGCGTTTCTGGCGAACAGTTGCGGCATGCGGTAGGACATCCCGACGTCATTTGGATTCCGAATGGCAACACGTACGGTCTGCAGTATCATCTTCGACGTTCAGGAGGAGATAAGTTTGTGCGTGAGGCGGTGAGCAATGGAGCGCTCTACTTGGGCGCAAGTGGTGGGTCCATCGTGGTGGGAAGAAGCATCCGTACAGCGTTTTGGAAAGACTGGGACGATCGACGTGTCAACGCCACCATCTCTGCCGATTGGAGTGACCCGTCTATGTTGGCGGGGCTCAACCTCATTGGAGGTAAGAGTATTTTCCCTCATGCCGACGGTGAGTTTGCAAATCCCACATGGCAGCAAGAGCAACATCACAGACATGATTGCGGCGGCGTGGTGATCGCACTAGCGAATGGAGATGGGTATATCGTCGAAGGAGATCGTGAGTCCCATGTTCGCACGCATGACAAGCAAGAGCTTGTCGTGCAGTGAGAGCAAGGACTCTTGTTCAGGAAAATCGTCTCTCCCAAGTGTGAACCCCACTGGCACCGGCTTGCACCGTCAAAGCAAAAGTACGAATTTTGCTTCGTGATTGTCCGACCGCCGACCGCCACTTGAGCACTCCCACCCCCTGCAAAAGTACTGCAATTATAGACGCGTCGCAAATCCCCACCAGCCCATCCAGCAACGATGCCCAGGCAAGTCGCTTTGATCAGGAAAGCGAGGCGCAGAACGTAGAACAAAGAGCCGGGGATGCCGTCAACCGAAGTTTGGGATCAGCCCGAGCAGGACCAGGAGCGATTCGCAGACCTGTCAAGCGAGGAAGGGCAGAGAAGGCTGAGGCGGGAGGAGGAAGAGGAAGAGGAGGAGGAGGAGGAGGAGGAGGGCAAGGAGGAATGAGAATGATGGAAAATTGGTAGGAGGAGGACGAGGAGGAAGGCGAGCAGAAGGAGGATGAATTGGATTGAACCCGATCTCACTCAACTTCTGATTAACGTTGGTTGGGAGGAGAAGGAGGAGGAGGAGGAAGAGGAGGAGGGGAGCGATGAGGAAGAGGAGGAGGAAGAGGAGGAGGAGGAAGGTAGAGGAAAGGGAGTAGGAATAGGAGGAGGATCAGAGGAATTGGGGAAAAGGCGATGGTCACGATGACGACGACGATTCAAACAGAAACGCCTTTGCGTACCTTTGCTCTGGGAGTCCCTCGGAACCATCTTGGGGCCCTTCTGGGGCAGTTTCGGGAGCTTCTGGAGCCCTCTTAATTGGGGCCCTCGTGGAGTCCCAGGGTACCTCGAATCCTCGAAGACCTCGATCAAAGAAGGGAGGGCCTTCACTACGGCTGTCTCTTTTGAGCCTTGGAAGTCGTTTCTTGGTGGCATCTTGATGGCTTCCTTGGGAAGCCCCGTGGTTACTTGGAGCCGTCTTGTAGCGGTCGTTGGGCTTCTTGGAGGCATATCGTAGTTATCTTCAGCCATCTTGGGGTATCTCGAGCAATCGTGGAGGCAATCGTTGGTTCTCGGAGGCCATTTTGGTGCTATGTTGGCTCAAAGGTCTCCCAAGAAGACCCCTGGGGGGATGCCAATATCCGTTTAAAAGCGACGCGTGTTCAATTATTATGGCTTAGAGCGAAGGGTGGGCTCCTAATTTGGGTTGCCCCTCTTGAGACCAAAAGTCGCCTCTTGGAGCCCTCTTGAGGTCCAAAGGGCCCATCGCAAGCGAGAAGGCGAGAAGTCAAAGACAGTGATGTATTATCGATGGGCTCTGAATGGATTTCGACCTCTTGGGACGCTGCGTGGCCGCTTGCTGGAGGTACTCCCAGCGCTCGCAGTGGAGTTGATACATTGGAAGCGCATGCCAAGAAGCACTCTGCTTGCCTCCAGGGTGC